GCCACAGCAGCCCCACAACCCAGCAACGTTACTGCCCTGCGCCAAACCTACCCAGGAAGGAGGGCTGGAAAAGGGCCTCCGGACACCGGAATCGCTCGTTGCCAATGGTGATGACCTGGCCATCGGGCAGCTCATAGCTCTTCTCCAGGGAAGAGGAGGAGGCAGCAGTGGCCATCTCCTGCTCGAAGTCTAGGGCAACATAGCACAGCTTTTCCTTGATGTGCAACGTTACTGCCCTGCGCCAAACCTACCCAGGAAGGAGGGCTGGAAAAGGGCCTCCGGACACCGGAATCGCTCGTTGCCAATGGTGATGACCTGGCCATCGGGCAGCTCATAGCTCTTCTCCAGGGAAGAGGAGGAGGCAGCAGTGGCCATCTCCTGCTCGAAGTCTAGGGCAACATAGCACAGCTTTTCCTTGATGTCACGGACAATCTCCCTTTCGGCTGTTGTGGTGAAGCTGTAGCCTCGTTCTGTCAGGATCTTCATGAGGTAGTCGGTGAGGTCACGGCCAGCCAAGTCCAGACGCAGGATGGCGTGGGGCAGAGCGTAGCCCTCGTAGATGGGCACGGTGTGGGTGACACCATCCCCAGAGTCCATAACAATCCCAGTGGTACGACCAGAGGCGTACAGGGACAGCACGGCCTGGATGGCAACGTACATGGCTGGGGTGTTGAAGGTCTCGAACATGATCTGCAAGAGAGAAGTCTTTCAGCGTGGAGCCAACAAACCAGCTCAGTCACACCTGTGTTAGAACATGCATGCTGACATGCAAAAACTGATGTGTGAAAGAAAAGCAAGGAGTGCAGGCAGAAACACAAATGAAAGAAACCTGAGACGTCAAGGAGGAAATGCCAGGAGTAGAGAACCCTGAAAATATTGGGAGAAAAAAAAAGAAAAAACCTCAGATTTATGATGCCAGAACAAAAGAGGGTTTATGAAGATGAAGGTGAGTAGTGATTACTGTCCAGTAAGTGTACCTGTGTCATCTTCTCTCTGTTGGCCTTAGGGTTCAGAGGAGCCTCTGTGAGCAGGACAGGGTGCTCCTCAGGAGCCACACGCAGCTCATTGTAGAAGGTGTGATGCCAGATTTTCTCCATGTCATCCCAGTTGGTGACAATACCATGCTCAATGGGGTACTTCAGGGTGAGAATTCCTCTCTTGCTCTGGGCCTCATCACCCACATAGCTGTCCTTCTGTCCCATGCCAACCATGACACCCTAGGAAAAAAGGCATGGTGAGTAAGTCTCTGCGCAGCAGCACTACTCCAGCGCGCCCACCGCCCGCAGCACAGGGCGCTCCCTGCTTACCTGGTGCCTCGGGCGCCCCACGATGGAGGGAAACACGGCACGGGGGGCATCATCGCCTGCAAAGCCAGCTTTGCACATGCCGGAGCCATTGTCGATGACGAGCGCTGCGATTTCTTCTTCCATTTTGCAAAATCTGGCAGGAGGAGACAGAGAGCCCTCACCCAGACAGCACCATGCAACCTAAAACTGCACTAGGCACCCCCAAACAGCACCATGCACCCCCCGGCTGGCACTGTGCACCCCCAGACAGCACCATGCAACCTAAAACTGCACTAGGCACCCCCAAACAGCACCATGCACCCCCCGGCTGGCACTGTGCACCCCCAGACAGCACCATGCAACCTAAAACTGCACTAGGCACCCCCAAACAGCACCATGCACCCCCCGGCTGGCACTGTGCACCCCCAGACAGCACCATGCAACCTAAAACTGCACTAGGCACCCCCAAACAGCACCATGCACCCCCCGGCTGGCACTGTGCACCCCCAGACAGCACCATGCAACCTAAAACTGCACTAGGCACCCCCAAACAGCACCATGCACCCCCCGGCTGGCACTGTGCACCCCCAGACAGCACCATGCAACCTAAAACTGCACTAGGCACCCCCAAACAGCACCATGCACCCCCCGGCTGGCACTGTGCACCCCCAGACAGCACCATGCAACCTAAAACTGCACTAGGCACCCCCAAACAGCACCATGCACCCCCCGGCTGGCACTGTGCACCCCCAGACAGCACCATGCAACCTAAAACTGCACTAGGCACCCCCAAACAGCACCATGCACCCCCCGGCTGGCACTGTGCACCCCCAGACAGCACCATGCAACCTAAAACTGCACTAGGCACCCCCAAACAGCACCATGCACCCCCCGGCTGGCACTGTGCACCCCCAGACAGCACCATGCAACCTAAAACTGCACTAGGCACCCCCAAACAGCACCATGCACCCCCCGGCTGGCACTGTGCACCCCCAGACAGCACCATGCAACCTAAAACTGCACTAGGCACCCCCAAACAGCACCATGCACCCCCCGGCTGGCACTGTGCACCCCCAGACAGCACCATGCAACCTAAAACTGCACTAGGCACCCCCAAACAGCACCATGCACCCCCCGGCTGGCACTGTGCACCCCCAGACAGCACCATGCAACCTAAAACTGCACTAGGCACCTCCAAACAGCACCATGCACCCCCCGGCTGGCACTGTGCACCCCCAGACAGCACCATGCAACCTAAAACTGCACATTGCACCCCCTGAACAGCACTGTGCACCCCCCAGGTAGCACTGTGCGCCCCCAGACAGCACCATGCAACCTAAAACTGCACTTGGCACCTGCAAACAGCACCATGCACCCCCCGGCTGGCACTGTGCACCCCCAGACAGCACCATGCAACCTAAAACTGCACCGGGCACCCCGTGGGCAGCACCTTGCACCCTGGACACGGCCCTGTGCAAGCCCAGGGGACCCCCAGGGAAGCGCTGGGCACCCCTTGCACAGCACCCGCAGGCCTTGCAGGGACAT